AATGAGTTCGTGTGGAAAAGGCTTGAAAGATTTGTGGGACACCAGGAACCTCTTCTCGCCACTGTAAAAAGACAAAACAAAACAAAAAACAGAAAAATGGCGTGGTTTGGACACATTACAAGGCATAACAGCCTGTGCAAGACCATCATGCAAGGCACCATTGAATGTGGACGTAGAATAGGGCGCCAATGCAAAAACTGGTTGGACAATGTCAAACAATAGGCAAGTATGACTATACGAGAATTGCTGATGGCTGCCTTTGAGAGACCGTTGTGGACGAGATTTAGTGTAACTTCTGCATTCGGATCCCCTCCTACGATTACAAAAGTCAAGAGGATGATGATGATCATGATTAAAATGATGATTATGATGTTGACTTAATAAGCCTTCTTTTACTCATATTCTGCACAATCACTAATTCCATGCGTCTTAGTGGCTTTATTGACTTGTCTGGGTTAAATGATTAAAAATAATATGTTCTTACAACTGTACATAATTATTAATAATAAAAATAATTCAATTTTTTTTCGATCTGTACTCTGAGTTTTCTGGACGTTTTCATCCAATCCTCAGCAGAATTTATAAAGTGAGTTTATTTTCAGTTCATATTTAAAATCATGTTTTCGTATGTTTTATTTACGATATATTTTTATTAAATCGTATATATATATATATATATATATATATATATATATATATACTACAGTTCAAAAGTTTGAAGCCCCACTCAGAATTACCATAGGGTGAACTTGACAGAAGAATGAAACCTTTCCATCGCAAAAAATGAGAATGAGCTCTTAGAGTCCTTGAAAAAAAGAATAGAATCAATTATCAAACATTTTGCAACGAATGCTAAAAATTTGTTCTGCAGTAATCAAGGTCAGCAAAAGCAAAATTTGATCATATAATGTCTTCATTATTTTGGCTATTATTTTAAATATTCTAATAAAAAATCGTGTCTCACTTTTTTAACCATGTTATTTTCTCTTATTTAATGTACAAAACAACTACTTTTGGGACCAATTTAAAAAATTACCAGGGAGTTACTTCAAACTTTTGAACTATATATATATATATATAGTTCAAAAGTTTGCTAACCATTACACGACATTGATGTGTCCTTTCGACATCGATGTGTCCTTTCTTTCCTCATTTTGGTGATTTTTTAAGCGTGGTTTAGATGTGGCACAAGGTCGAAAGAATTGCTAGTCATGACACCACGTCGAAGTACCCAAGATATATGTGTTTAGAAGCAATAGAGAGAAAGAGGTGGAAAATGTGATTACATCTCGTTCAGCAATATACCAATTATTGCTGTTATTAGCTTTGACTATTCTTGTTGTTGCCATTGCCATGTTGGCATTTGCGTTTTATCGATGTGTGCTTCATATAAAAATGGTACCTGCAACTGGGAAATCTGCACACGGATTGCTGCAAACATGGCAGCAATGGCCAAATTGGCAAGAATATGGACGAGCAACATCAGCTTACACAGTCTGTACAAATCACTGGTAGTCTCCATTCTCCTATATGGATGTGAAACGTGGACACTGTTGGCAGAAACAGGGAGAAGGATGTCCGAAAAATAAAATAATAGTCGGAGGAAGAATATTTTCTGTGAAAATTTCTCGGACATTCAGGCCGGTAAATGTTATTTAATACTGTTTATTATAAACAGAGCATTTACTTAAATCTTTTGTATCTATAAAAAGAATGTATAAACATAAAAGTGTCTTAAAATATATATATATATATATATATATATATATATATATATATATATATATATATATGTATATATATATATATATATATATATATATATATGCACATTTCATTGAGTACGACAGACAAGGTGCTTTGATTTAGTTTTTTGCAATTTCTCATGCGATCTAATATTTTCTTTTCTTTTCAGATGATAAATTATATAAAAACAAACTATTTATTATTTAACAGTTAAGATATTTAATCCTTGAAAATGGCTAAATGTATAGCCGAAAGCGCTCGGACAAAAATAACATTCGGGCAACTTTTATATAATTTATCATCCGAAAAGAAAAAAGTATTAGATCGCATGAAAAATTGTATAAATAACTAAATCAACGATCCTTGTCTGTCGTATTCAATGAAATGTGCTTGAAAAGAATAGTTGCTGCCAAAAATACACACACACACACACACACATATATATATATATATATATATATATATATATATATATATATATATATATATATATATATATATATATATATGTGCAGGGTGATTGAAAAGTAAATCTCCAATTTAAAATATTTATAATTTATTTATTAACTATAATTTTTACAAGAAATGGGTATAAGATGAAAGCGTTTAGGTTTTATTCAAAATTCGACCAAAATAGCACCAGATTTCGCTACCAGATTCTTCAGTTGCTCAGGAATCGCCAGTAATTTCACCAGGAACTCTTGTGGTATGGAAGGTATAACTTCTTGTCTTCGCCCTTCAAGTTCTTTCAAGGTCTTGGTTTGGTATAGTTGACTTGCTCCTTTAACCAACCCCAAAGAAAAAGGTCACAGGGTGTTAAATTCAGGACTCCTGGCTGGCCACTCAGACATAAAATAGGGAGTTACTTTTCAATCACCCTGTATATATGAAATTTTGACATTTTTCAGATCCACTTTCAAAAATCTGACCAAAAATAAGACTAAATGCCAAAGCATCAGATTTCTTAGGAAAGCCTTTTTGATTGAAACAAGAACTTTCCAACCCTCCCTTATATATTAAATATTATGTGTATTATTTATTTATTATATGCGTCCTTTCAGTGTTATCTATTTCTGTTTTATTTATTGTTCCACTATATTCCTCTTTGCCTTGTAACTGTAATTTAGATACCTAAATAAAATAAAAATGAAAACTATACCTAAAGTTTAATATGAATTTTTAAAAAAATGAAAAATATTTCTTGAAGTTTTTATTTTCGTTTTAATTTCAAGCTAATATATTAAATTTAATATTTCCAATAAGCAAAATAAGAATTTAAATTGACTGAAAGGATCTCTTTTTTCTAAAATAACTGATTAACGCTTTTTAACTCCTCTTTCATCGCAATGTAATTCTCTTTATTAAAACATCTTCCAAAAATAAAATATACTTTTCTGAAATATTATTTGAAGAATATTAGCTGATTTAAAGTATGATTAATCTGATTTGAAGTAAATATTTACTTTAAGTTTAAAATGTCACAGAAAGGCTTTTTTGCACAACAATAGATGTGTTTTTAACGCGACAGTAGTTGTGTTGACAGCCTGATGACAGGTCTGTTGTTGTTCTACGGAGGCTTTATCTGTAAAACATAATTTAAGTAAATGACGTGAGTGCCTTTTTTATATAATATTTAAGTACTCAGTAATCTTAAAAATTTAGGAAAATATTCTCCGTAATCTAATGTTTTATTAAATTTTAGAAATGTTTTAGAAATATTGACTTTAAATTTACAATACTTATTGCTCGTATTTTCTGGTAATGTCGTGTATGGTCGCCTGTACTAACAAAAATAGGCACGATTACCCACATCCAAAAAAATTCAAAATTCTTTTTAAAATGTTGGTGTTTGATGTTTTGTACTAACCTTTTTCATTTATGATTAGTAAATATATTTTTACTTAATAATTATAACAGTTTAATGGTTAAAATTAATACAGAATTTTAAAAGTTTTAAAGCTTAATAATTTTTATAATTAAAATTTAAAAAAAAAGGAAAACAATTCTTGTAAAATTCATTATTCACCAATTTTTTTTTCCTTAAGACAATAGTGTCTTTAATAAATCTTATCATCAAAGCAATTAAAAGTTTTCTAATTAAATAATGTCTTGGTTTTATTGCATTTTTCATTTTATGATTTCGAGAATATTTTCGGTAAATTGTGTTCCTATTTGACAAAAACAAATTGAGGAGTTAGCTTCTCCAAGAAATCTTGCTTTCAATTAATATAAATACGAAAACACTGGAATTTTAATTTCACAAAATTTCATAAATTAAGTGGTAGTAACAGATATAAAAATTAATATATTTTTACCAAGATTTTCTAACAGAAAAATTTTCAAAAATAATTTCATTGAATAAGTTCTGAAAATTTCCTTAAAATCCGACAATTAATATATATATTTTTTTTTTTTTGCAACAATGTCCAAAACAATGGATTTTTTTAACGCCAAAAAAGACGCTGAAAATCCTTTTACTAATCTTCGGCCCAGAAAGAAAAACATGATTTTTAACCCAAATTTCAAACGCGAAAGGATTAAAACAATTAATAAAATAGTCAGAAAATAATTTGGTCTTTCATCTTAATAATAGCATAAACATTTTGACGATAAAATTTTTTTATAAACTTTGGCGCATTTTTTCATCAAGATATGCCCTTTTTAGCGGAATTCTGTAATTTGGTTAATTCTCAGTTCTTGTTTTTAATTCTAAAACGAGATGTTATTTTTAATTACGTTAATTCATTAATATCTTGATTTTGGTTCTCATGTTATATCTTCTAATAACATTATACAACCAATAAAGATCATGATTGATGTCATTGATTTATTTGTTTTTCATTATAATATAGGCTAGAGAATATGAAATTTGGACTTTAAGAAGATATTTTGTATTTTCAACAAATCTTTATCCTTGTTTTTCACAATTTATTTAACTCAAATGTGGATAAATATGAATGTCATCTGTATATTGCACAGTTTCCTACCGAGACAAACACATGTCCGTTTTAACGCAACTTACTCTAGTTGATGATTTGATATATTTTTTTATCTCGAGCTACTTTTTAATACTATGTTCAAAATCATATTGAACAATGATTTTAATTTTAGAAACTAATATTCTTATGTTAACTTTTGCTTTTTAACTAATTAACCTATTTTTTTTTTAAATCAGGTCAAAAAATGATTTCCGTTGATTTGTATTAATGCCAGAAGTCGAATGTTTCGTTACAATGATTTCTAAAAATTAAGAA